ATTAATTATATATGAGAATACTTGTTAGAATGCCCATTAGCATCTCTCATTAACTACTTCACTGCATCTCATCTTAGAACTCTTTTCTTTAGAAGAACTGCACATCCCACAACCCATAAATAGTTATTTCTTTCATAAAGTATAGGCTTGTGATATGCTGGTAATGGTAGTAGGAGGGGAAAAAATGTTATTCTCAGGTTTGTAATCCGTTTTGACTATTCCTTTTGCAAATTGGATTCATTTACATTCATTTCTTTTGATCCATAGGATGGCTTTGAACAAGTCATTAATAGAAAAAGATAAACACCCTACCCTTTTGATGACTTCTTTGCATAAGTATTTGTTATAATGATGTCAGTGTGCTGTATCCTGAGCAGATGAAGTATTAGGCATTGTCATGTCGCAGTGAACAGTGGTAATTAGGATAGTAATGTGTTTGCCTTATATGAGAAGAGTATAAATTGTGTGTTCCATGCTCATATTAGAAATGCTGTCTGCGTTTACCTTCAACTATATGAATACACAGAAGCCAAAAATTATGGAGAGACAGTATTAAAATTCTTACTCAGTGTGTTTTAAATTCAAAGTCAAAATGGCTTGATAAGGCTTATATGCCTGTTTGGAGGGAATGTGACTGCACGGCCTGTAATGAAGAGGTAACACTGCCAAGGATATACCAGTATTCCCAAAGTCCAGCATCTCTGGGGAGTAGGCAGTAGCACCTGGGGAGAGGAAGTAGGTCTGTGTTCCTCATATGGCACCGTTACCTTCAGCTTCTGGCATGGATGTAGGTGTAGGTGGTGGTTAAAGGTTTCAGTCTTGGAAAGAAATCACATGGATGTGTTGAGGGGGGGACGTGAGGGGAGGAAAGCTATTTATATACTGTTCTCTCATCTGGAGGGTGGCAGCCTGGTGGTCAATAAATAAAACAGTGGTATGTGGCAGAGAGTAGATACATTGACCCTTCACACTGCCAGAAGAGAAATAGACATAAAAATTGCTCAGTCTGTAATCTCATTTCCTTGATGTGTGAGGGGGTGTGTATAATTGTTAAAGGGCCCTCAGTGGGAACTTCCTTGAGAAATTATTTGCGCGTTCACCAGAATTTGTCATAAAGTTAACAGTTTCAGGAAGCTGCTGTTTTTCTTGGTCTATGCTGTTCTTCAGTTGTTATGGTGTACATTAACTGGTGATTTTTAGCTTTTTCATTTAAATTTTCTTCTAAATTGGATTTCTGACCAAAGACTTCTAGGGAGCGATCAGCTGAAATGGCTGAATGTCTTGCAGCTTTTGTCATGACTTATTTTTTTAATTTGACTAATTCTTGCTCTTTTTTCTTTCTTCTCCTGGTATAAAGGTTGGAAGAGTTTTTTCTGTTGCTATGCTAAGGTTTTGATTTATGTGTAGTATTTGCTTTGAGGAATTATTTCACTTTTCTTCAAATGTGCTTGTTTTGTTCCTTCACCCTAAGCTGGCTAACATGCTGAAACTAAATTATTTTCTGAAATGTTCTGGTCTTTAAGTGAGTTAACAGAACAAACTCTGTGGTTTCTTTCCTCGTAAGCTTACAAAAACATACAGGATAACGTGTATATTCATGGTCTGTGATGTAATAAATACAAATGTGACTTTCCGAACAAGCAACTGAGGCAAATATTCATTTGCGTTTTTCCTCTTGTTAGCTATTTGCAATTGAAAAGTCTGTTTCAGGGGGGTTGAATTGAGCTGTGCTGTGTCAAGCAAGCAAGGAGGATTTCAGATGTGTTAATTTAGGAATTGTTGCTTAATAAAGGGAATCTTTGCAGTGTAGTAATATTGCATTCCAAATTATAAATGAAGTTTTCTGTTAATCTTTTAAATTAATTTTTAATTAACATTGATAAGAACGAAATAGATGCTCTTGCTGTAAAAACTTGCTTTTAATTCACTTAGTTATATTTAAGTAAGCTTTAGTATCCTTAAAAAGTTTAGAAAATTCTGGTGTTCTTACTGGTGTCTTGGTATGGGAAAACAGATGTCATTACTAAGTTGGGGACTACAGCAGCTTCTGGTGTACTAAGCATCTTGTCATCTGCAGCAGATACCAAGCAACAGTGTGTGTGTGGGGGGTCGCTTTACGAGAGAGATGTACTAAATGACAGTATTTTTTGAGTAAGCTGATGTTAAGGTGACCTTGTTGGGACATCGGGAGTTCCTACCTCTTAATGTCTATGGTTGTAGTTCAGAAAGGACATACCTTCCTTTTAAGCTCTATGTAAAAATACTTCTTGCATGAAAAAAGAGCTGTGGATAATAAATTAAAAAACAACCCCAAAAAAAACCCCAACAAACAAACTGAACCAAACAAACAAAAACCCCGACCTGAAGAATGATTCCCTCCTCTTTAACCCTTTTGTCGCTAATTGTCCAAAAAGATTTTAACTGAAAGTTTAAAAAAAGGAGAGAAAAAGGTGCTTTTGAGCATAACATTAACTGTTTTCCTTTATTAAAAATGTTTGAGCTGGTGAAGAACAAGCTAAACATAATCAACCCCAGTACAAGGTCTCTTGTAACTTTGTCTGCTATGGGAGACCTGCTCCATTTTAAGGACCAGCTTGAGGCCACTGTAGGAGATGTTGAACCTGAAAAACAATGAATTTAACATTTATGTGGAGCAGCAGCTCTTCACCTTCCTCCCTTCAAGCTAGCCTAAAAATGACTTTTGTTGACTGTACTGTAGTGAGGTGTGGGTAGCCCTGCTTGGCACCACATTTATTTCCTCTTCTTTTCTGGATGGTAGGTCAGGTATTGGGAAGTGAGGAGCACTGGTCTTGTGTCTCCTTAAATAGGTCCCTTTTCCTTAGGTTTGTCAGCACTTTGTATCGCAGGACTACTTGGTACCCATGAAAAGCTAACAGATTACTCTATTGCAAAATACAGTAAACGTTCTTTTTGTCACCATATCTACCCTTATTCTTCTTTTATTTGCAATCCAATCCCTCAAAAGAGATGAGCGACAGACCAACCGACTGTGTCTATTTTTATACAGCGCACATATTAACAGTTGAGTAAATGTAAGAGGTTTTAAAGAGCTTATTTTAGCAGAAGCATTTGTTAAAGCCCCTGTATCCATAGGCTCTGTGTATATTCATTAACTATTCGTGGCTGTAACACAATACAACAAAAGGAAGCATATTTTCACAGAGATCTGTAACCACCATACGCAGGCTGGCACCCAGCCAGCAGCTGAAGGCAGACGTTTCTTACTGCTATTTCTAGTCTTGAGGCATCTAGATATATTAAATTTATTGCTCGGATCACAAAACTAGCTAATACTTACTGCAGTGTCATGATCCCGCATTACAAAAATACGTTATGGTTGATCCCCAGAAGTTTATTGTAATCAAATCTTTGAAGGCGGTGGAAAACTGAGCCTCTCCAGTTTCACCGCCAGTGTGACAAGATTTATCCTTCATATAATCGCATCCAAAATGGTTTGAGACAAGGATAGGAAGAACCGAAGCACTGGCATGAATGGAAAGTGCATAAATATTTAACAGAATGTCCTGTCCTGTAGACTTTCTTATCTGTTGAAGGACTTAGATTTTCCCTGCACTGGGAGCCTGGGTGGCTTCACTGGTCAGGGATGGGGCAGGGTGATGTGAGTCCTTCCCCAGCAGTGAACATGTGGCCTTGGAACTTGGAGTAAGTCTACGTACAGCTTCTGTCAACTACTCCTTGTGAAAAGGGATGGAGATGCTTCAGCTCTTGGTCTAGTGTATACTACAAAATAGCTTCTCCGTCCCAATGTAGCATGAAAATAGGAATTTGTTCCCAATCAAGTATGTTTTGGTGAATTAAAGAATATTTTGATGAAGGTAAATGGCAGAGAAGATAAATGAGGTGTGTAAGAATTTACTACAGTCAGAATTCTGTTTTGTATGTGGGATGTCAACATGATACACCAGCATGTTTTATCATGTTGAGATTTTTAAGCTTTTGCAAAGGTGAGAAATAACGATTTTCCCCATGAGTGTGCTACCTAGTCAGTTGAATGCCAGGGTTCTGCCCACCTGGAATGGGAATTACCCTGTTAGATTTAACCACCGCTTTACTCTTCAGTGACATGTTAAGCTGACAACAGATCGCCTGTTTTAAAAGTAAATCACTTAACATTGTGATGCTTTAATTATTACTTTACATCTCCAGGCATCTTTCTATGTTAGCACGCAGATATATTTTAATTCTTTTCCCTTTGCTTAATAGCTTGAATGAACTGGGAGGGAAGAAGAACAAATGCAATTAAAATGAATATCTGTGAAATACTTGAGTTTTGTTCCACGTGAACAGAAATGTTAAAAGCGCTTGTAGCAGCTGTGTCAATACCAATTTTTCTGGTTCTTGAGTACAGAAATAAATTCAGGTGCTATTGGTTAAATAATTCATATTTGGTTTAGGTGAAAAATAAGACCTGGTTTCTTTAGCAAGTGCAGTGTTTTCATTTGAGTGATTTAAAAATTGATCATACTGAACTGATTGAAGTGTATTTGCTGTTGTATAATTAAATTGATATTTTAAAAAGCTTTTTTTTTTTTTAAATATACTGTCCAGTTGGGAAGTTTGCAAATGGATCTTCAGATACCATATTTCATTTGGTTTTGAGATCAATGACTGTATTGTGTTCAGAATTTAGTTACAGGCATGTGACTTTGAGTGGACAAATCATTTGGGTCGTACTGGAGGAGAGGCAGAAGTGTTGAATCAGTGACATTCTGTTTTTCAGGCATATCGATTATTTACATGTACACGGAAAACTGGTACTTGTGAGGAAAAAGATCTTGGAGCTGCAAAATTTTACCATGGATTATTTAGAAAAAAGAAAAATGCCATTTCTAATGCTATGATTTCATTGAAATAATTAGTCTGTGCTTTCAAGCAACCTTTTTATTTTTGTCATGTTGAACTGTTGAATTACCTTTTTTACCTAAGGAAAATCTTCAGTAACCATGTTTAATTTACAGAGCACCAGAGATCATACTGGGATTGCCGTTTTGTGAAGCCATAGACATGTGGTCGTTAGGGTGTGTGATTGCAGAGCTGTTTCTTGGATGGCCACTGTACCCAGGAGCACTGGAATATGACCAGGTAGTAGAATAAATTTCACAAGGATTTAAGTATTTCAGATCATTAAATCCAGGATTTCAAGTGTTAATAGTATCCCCTATTAAGTAGTATTTCTTCAAGTCTGTTCAATGCTTTTAATTTAGTCTTACTGATTATACTAGAAACATAAATCCTGTTTCTAGACCGAATTGTATATTGTGCTGCTTTTCTGAATTAAATTTGAATGCTTTTCCCCCTTCTGTCTTGCAAAATAAATATTAGTATTGAAGCCGCTTTTGCTGATGGAAGCTGAAGTTTGTGGCAATATAATCTCTCTTTCACTTGCCATGAATAGGGTTTACTCTGGAATGTCTGTTCAGATGTCAGGATTAGTTGTTTTCTGAATACTTCCTGGTGCTTTCTGGAAATCCAATATAGCCCAAAGATTTGAGAACCTATACTTCACGAGGAATGAGAATCAACTGTCTCAGTAATACCGTAGATATGCAGTAGTAAAGCTTTAAGCTGCTGAAGCTTTGCTTTGTTGGAGTTTTCAGCTACTGACACCATTGGCATTAGTGAGCTGACTTAAAAAAGCTGTTTCTACTGAAACATGTGGACTGTTTCTATTCAAAACACTTAAGAGAGGGGTCTTTAATTTTCTAGCATAATGTGGAAATTTGGAAGGAACCTAACCAGCATCCTGACTATCCCTGCCTGGCTTTGAACATCGAAAGTAATGAAATCTTGTGAAAATTCCAGGTGTAACAGCATCGCTTCTTACTAACTTCTACGTCTTTGATTCCGCATTCAGTTTAGGGGCAGTTGCTCCAGCATGTTGTTCAGGTTATCTCATCTCCATGCAGTGGGCTTTGGGCTCCCTGTGCTTACAGATCAGACCTACTTTTCTAAAAATTTGCTTGTTAAAACGACTGTCGGGATAGATTGATTTTGTGTAGATTTTGGTAATGTTTCATATTTCGGTTTACTTCGATTACACAAAATTCAGTGTTTCATGGGTAGGAAGTGAGCTGTGAGTGGAGCTTTGAGGCGTTTACAAGGCCTTTGTGCAGGGCATTGCTGTTAAGATGGGGAATGAAAGAGGAGACAACTAACAACCGTATCATTCACTAAGCTCATTAAGAAAAAAATGACAATTTGGTTTTTGGAAAGAATTTGTAATATTGTCTAAAAACTTACAAGAACTTGGCAAACTTATTTACCTCTTATTTTGAAAGAAACAGCAGGAAAACTTCTGGACTTTCAAAAAAAAAAAAAACCAAACCAAAAACAAACCACAAAAACAAAAAGAGGGGGTGGTGGGGTGGATGGTCCCAAAATACGCAGTTTCCAGGATCACTTCCACTTTGGAACCCTGTACTGCTGTAAATAGCTGTTAAAAAGGAGGTTACTGTGGGTGAGGAAGGACCCATAAGACCAGTTAATGGTGTCCTGACCATAATCCCACACGTAGGCAGATGCTGCTTCTGGATGTGGAATGTGGCTTTGGACCACATCTTTAATCACTTGTGGTGAAGTAGGAGTTTGAATGGTGGAAAATGCTGCCCGTGTCCTGATTCTTTCCTCAAATTAACTTGTGATTTGTCATGTAGACATTGACCCAGGCTTAGAGTTTGCCAATGGGTATACTCTGACTTTTGTACAGAGAGCAGTAACAGCATAAAGCTCAATCTCATAATTATGAGGATTTTTTTTTAGAATAATACGGAGTCTCATTTGAGAAGAAAATACCTTCTTTCACCCACTGCACCGCATCCACCTTGTTGCATACGAAACGCAGGTAGATGAAGGCAGTTTAGTACAGTGTGGAGTGCCTACCTTCATAGTGCTCGTTGGCTCACCTTTTCTCAGCTTTACAGAGCCAGGTCCTTACAGCAACTTATTCCTGTCACTTGTTTCTTGCCATTGTAGGCCCAGGGCCAACATGGCTCAGCCTCTGGATACTGCCATTAAACAGCCTTGTCACCAATGACAGCCACTTTCCAAGGTGCGGTACATCAGGCAAAGGACAACATGGATTAGGGGTTAATCTTGATGCCCATAAGATTTTCTGCTTGCTTTACAAGTGAATGCTGAATTTAAAAGACATTCAGTGGCAGACATACCGTTCAAGTTTGCTGGAAGCGTCAGTTAATAACTAGTCTAGCAGCTTGTCTGATCCTCATGTAGGAGAAGTGGTGGTGGAAGAGGAGCTGTTAGCAGGAATTACCTTACCTTAGTCAGGCTTGTTGTGCTCAAGCAGGTCTGCAAAACTGGCCTAGGAGAACTTTGTTTCAGGGTTTTCCTCGGTGTACGACAGTACAGCAGTCGTAGGACATGGCTCCTGAGGAAATTCCTTTCCTCCTGCTATGTGCTGTGTGTCACCGAGTAAATGAACAGGCAGGGGCTTTGTGCTGCATTTCCCAATCCCCCTGGTATGTGGCAACCAACACACTAGGCCTTGAAAGGAAGTTATTATATTCGTTTGTGATTATATTCAGCAACAGCCGTACTTCCCAGTGGAAAATAGCCATGTCTTCTGAGATTTAATACTCATTAAAAACACTCACAGGTGCTTAACTGCTAAATTTTTGATTTAACGCATTGTCTTTTCCCCCCTAATTTGTAAGACTTCAGAATATGCTTAGAAAGCAACTAAATGTTCCGGAAACGTTTCTGGTCAAAGTGGGATGATGTAGGGAATTACAGAGGATGCCAGCAGTTGGCAGCATTGCGTTGAGTTTCTGCCCACTTTGGTCCATTACTTATTTTTCACCAGAAACCTCGAGTGTACCTTTCTTCTCTCCTGCCCATCAGTTTTTCTCCTCTAAGGTGCTCCTAGCTCTTAAATCCTCTGCCTTCCATTGAATTCACCTTTTCACCTTCTCGTCTCCCAGTTTCTCATTTGTTTTATTTCATCACTCTTTTGATTATTTTTCCTTTCTTCCATTCTACCTTACTCCTAGCTGCTCCATCTTTTCTGCCCCTCTGTGGAGGTGTGTGTCATGGGACCCTGCCCAACACCCTTCAGCTCTGGTTGCCCTTGGGCGTTCAGCCCTGGCTGCTGAAACCCATACTCCCTCCATCCCGACGTGTGACAAGCTCAGTTTTCAATTACTGCTGATTAGTCTTTCTTGAAGGTGTTCTTTTAATTTTTAAGGAAGTATTAGTTCTGGGATAACTCCCCCCGGTGCAGTGATTTAACATTGCATGCACAGTAATTAAAACATCATCATAACGTGTTATTTCAACTGATTTCTGTTGAAGGCTTCAATCTTAACTATTTTAGGTAATACTCTGTATCATCAACTATAAGAGAGGTAATGAAAAATGCATAGTAAATTATCTTCTAAAATAAATGCATCTTAATAATTTCAGTGGGAAAGAGCATCTGACCATTTTGGGCAGAAAGCAAGTCCGTTCCCATTGCATTCAGTAGGAGATTTTGAGACGAGGACAGTATCTTTTGCTGGATACCTAGAGGTTGTATGTGCACTCCCCTTCCAAGTGAAACATGTGCTTGAAATGCAGGCGTCTCAGACGTGTGCAAAGACTGATACATTGAAAGCAGCATATGGGAAGGATTTTTATAGTGTTCTATAATGAGAGTATGCCAGAAAAATAATTAAACTTCTGTATGCAAGCAAATCACTCCTCCTAATTTTCCTATTTAGAGTGAAAAATACTACGTTCAGGATTTGAATGGGTTGAGGAGGTAATGACAGCTGCTCTCCCCAGCTCCTCATTCCTGTGACCAAAATTCAAAAGCTTATATAGCTCACTTCAGAGGTTTGTGTATGTATGGCTTTCTCCGAGAGATGAAGAGGGCAGTATCAAGCACTCAGTGTTAGGTTTCTGTTCAATGTACGATATAGTTGTCGAACTACGGTGCTCTGAGGGTGTTTAATTTTCCCATTTTTTAAGTGAAATGACAAGTTTTTAGCTGTGTTGATCAGATTTTGAAAATCAGAGGTAAATTATTTTCTGTGTCGGTGTGTTTTGTTTGTTTGTTTTCCTTCCTTAGATTCGTTACATTTCACAGACTCAAGGTTTGCCAGGAGAGCAGTTGCTAAGCATGGGAACGAAAACTGCAAGATTTTTCTGTAGAGAATCGGATGCACCATATTCTAGTTGGAGATTAAAGGTAAACAGTATAATATAGTAGCAAACAATGTATTTTGTGAGCAGAGAAACCAGAGAGGCCAAGATTCACCACAATACCATTAGCTCCCTTTTGCATCTCCTGTGTTTATTGTATCTATAGCCTTTCCATTTTTCCCATTCCCCAAAACCAGTGCTCCAAACTCATACCTATGTTTCCTCCCGCTGGCTGTCCCAGAGGCAGGTCTGGTGCCGCTGCCAGGCTGTGCAGTGGCCCCTGCACGGCTGCCAGGTGGAGAATTCAAATTAAGCTTTGTAACTTGAGAGGTACTAAATGAGGGGTTGGGTTTTGTTGGTTGGTTGTTTGGTCTCTTTTTTTTTTTTTTTCCCTTGCATGGTTACTAATTTTCACTTCACTTTAAAGGCGTTGTCTCCAATGCCCAAGCTGTTCTGTCAAAATTTGTTCAAAACTGGCTTCAGGATCACAAGTTCCTAGGAGAAAAAGCAGATTAAGGAACAACGTAACTGTGTACAGCTCATTTCCCTCAGATCTCCTGCTAAAACAGGCTTTGTTGACTGAAAGCTGCAATACAATTAAAACAAATGAAATTAAAAAGAAAAAAAAAAAAGGACTTCTAGGGTCTGTACACGTTGCTTCTCTCTAAGCAACATTATTGCACGCTGGCCATAAGCAGAGCTTTAACTTCCTGTGCAAATACGCATATTTTCTTAATTTTTTTTTTTTTAAATTATATTGCTTTATGGGGAAGCTCCACGGAATCTATGGAGGACTGGGGGAGTCAGGAAACAGTTACAGTTGACATAAAACTTGTGCAGTAACAAACAGCTGACAAGCTGAGAGCACAAGTTGCGTAACTCCCCACAGTAACTTGGTAAATCCCTGGCGCGCGTTGGGCCGAGCGGCCGGTGCTGCCCTGCCGTAACGCTGCGGGTCTGGTTATGTAAGGATTCTCCAATTACACTGTCCTGATTATTCCAGTATTCTGTTTTTTCGGGCGGTTGATCATTAGGTGACAGTTGACATCTGGCTTCTCCCCGTCAGAGAACTTAAAACGATGCAAACAGCCCTCGTTTTCCAAAGCCATTACCTCTCAGAGGTTAATTCTTTTGCATCAGACTACATGCCATTTTGTCTGAAGAAAGAACTTTTGGATGGTCAGTACTCTCAGTTTTTGTGAAAGTTAATTTTGAAAACTTTTTTGTAATCTGTATGTGAAAGAAATGTTTCCCTGCAGTCCGGCCTTGCCTCCTGCAACACCAGTCCATGGTCTGTGCTGAAGGAGGAAATTGTAGTAAAAAGTGGTATTCCAGTAAATTCCAGCTCACAAATCACTGATGGGTGATTGCATTCATTCTCTAGGATTTAATTGTTTTATACTTCAGTATTTAAAATACTTATACCAACTGTTGTGTCTGTGGAGGAATAAAAATATAACAAAGAAAAGAGAAAGTAAAGGGAAATTGAAGCGAGTCTGCCTGCCTGGGTTGGTTTGTTTTTATTCTTTAGTGATGTAATGTTGCTGCTGTTTGGAGTTAAAGGTCTGAGTTTAAGGAAAAGGGTAAACTTCAAGTAATAGAAAACCTGTGATATGTAAAAATATGAGCACAGAAGAGAGTTTAATCAAACAACTTTTTGCTTGGCTTTGAGCATTTCTTGTGTGATTTACAGACTGTCTATTGTAATCCAGTGCTGTGATCAGTCACAGGTGAAATTTGGTAGGTTTTGATTTAGAAAATGACATTTTTGATTTAGAAAATGACAGTAGTCAGTGAAGCAGCATACAAATACACAAAAAAAATGTTAATTTATTTTTTTGTTAACTTTTTTTTTAGTCGATAAATACGTAAAGTTACTTTGGAGTTATAAGTGACCTTTATTGTCAACTTTTAAACTCAGCTTTCCTTTCCTTTTTTGAGACATTGGAAGAGCACGAGGCAGAGACGGGTATGAAGTCTAAAGAGGCCCGAAAGTATATTTTCAACAGTTTGGATGATATAGTGCACGTGAGTATTAAAGCATTCATCCTTTGCAAGAGGAATGTGAGGGAATGAATGGTGATTTTAAAACGTTTTACTAGTTTTGAAATAACCACCTTTTAGAATATTGCTTACTGTGTATCACTCATGTCCATTCTGCTCTGTGTATGTTGCTCTGAGGAAAATGCCTAGCTGTGTCAGCCCTTTGGCTTTTTATAAAGATCTTCCTTTGTCATTGCTTGTGTTAAACAATGGTACTTGCCCTTGTGGTGGAGGAACCCTTTAATTATGTATGTCACGTGTACTTTCTCTTCTGCTATATCTGCCATTCTGGGTAAAAAAAGAATGCATATGGCCCTGCTATCTGAACTGTGTAATTTCCAGTGTAATTCTGCTGTCTTAAACATATCATTCTCAGTATAATACAGAGTTAAGCTAATATGCTTGTCTTCTATCTAACTGTTTTGGTCAATGCCAGGTGAACATGGTGATGGATTTGGAAGGAAGTGACCTGTTGGCAGAGAAGGCAGATAGGAGGGAATTTGTCAGTCTGCTGAAGAAAATGTTGCTGATCGATGCTGATTTAAGAATCACTCCGGCCGAGACCCTCAACCATTCTTTTGTTACCATGAAGCACCTCCTCGATTTTCCTCATAGCAACCAGTATGTAACACACCAAATTATGTTTTTAAACCTCCATTGCAGTGCTTCATGTGTATAATAGTGTTCTTTCTTCTGCTATCAGACAGAAAAATCTTTGTCATTTTTGTAACTTAGAGAATTCTTTTAAGTCCTTGCAGTATTGGATACATCTACTTGGTCAAGGAAACTGTTTGAATAACTTTTTTCTGAAGTAAAAGTAACATTTAGAGCAATAGATAGTTACCATTTTAGGCTTGATTGTTAAAATTCCAACACAGCAGAAACTTGGGTTAATTTCTGGAAATATGAAGAGTATTAGTTCCTGTCTGTCATAGAGAGTTAACATGGGCATTTCCCCTTGAGATGAACGTCTCCGATACCTACTTTTATACACTGGTTAATGTGGAATATATGGAAAGTTTTCTTGCAGTTCTGGAATTGTGTATTTCACTGTGGATTTCCTAAAGTGCAAGCATTTCACTGAAAGAAAACTTTCCACCCGTTCAGTTTACTATCCTTTCTGCTTATACGCAGTTACAATCACAGGATGGTTTGGGTTGGAAGGGACCTTAAAGACCATCCAGTTCCAACCCCCCTGCCATGGGCAGGGACACCTTCCACTAGACCAGGTTGCTCCAAGCCTCATCCAGCCTGGCCTTGAACACTTCCAGGGATGGGGCATCCACAGCTGCTCTGGGCAATCAGTGCCTCACCAATTAGATGCCAAGAGCAAGAAATAGCTTGTGTAGCAAATAATGTTTTTCTCAATGTTAAAATACACATTACAAAGCATGGTAATAGCAGTATTTTTTTTTTTCTAGTTGTGTGTATGGTGCCATTCTGTGAAATTGGGAAATGTGGGCTTCAAACTTTTTTTTTTTCCCTTGTTACGGGGAATTGTTTTATACATTTAACAACATGAAATTCTAATTAAAGCAAATTATTTTCTGGTTTTGATAGAGTGAAGTCCTGTTTTCATATCATGGATATTTGCAAGTGCAGATCAAATTCGTATGACTTAAGTAATCGCAATAAAACGTCACTTATGAGACCAGTTGCCTCAGGCAGCGCAGCTAATCTGACTGCGAGCTTTACCAAAATCGGTCCAGTAAGAAGTCAGGTCAAACCTTTCTTTTTTTTTTTTTTTTTTGTAATTATAAATTCAGTTTCTCTAATTAATTTCATAATTGAAAAAATGACATCTGTTAAGTGACAAATTCTTTTGTCTCTTGCTCTCGTTGTTCCTAGCGTTTCCTTAAACCGTTTAGTATTCCGTGAGCAGTGCTGGGTTGGAGTGCCCTCCCGTGGCCAAGCGGGATTACTCCTCTCAATGTGCTGGGAATGTTAATGTCTGGAAATTATTTTAGCTGTTCATTGTACAAGCTGGTGGGAGAAGTGTGTGAGAGATGGAGATTCACGGTTACGATGTTGCCTGTGCTGCATCTGTTCCTGTAGGCATTAACCGCATCTGCCCATTCAGTGTTGCACCAAGGGATTCCACTGCAGGCAGGAACTGTCCCGTTTGGTTGCAGTGATGTTTTCCAGCAGGCATTGATTATATGTCCTCCAGCTCTCCAAGGTATGTTTCACCTTAATAGTTACACTTGCTAAAACCTAAGCATTACTTTTCTGTCTCTTAGCAATATCTGAGTTTTCCATGATACCCACTCAAGCTACATATTTAAATTATCTTAATTATGTCATAAAAAAATTAGTGTGTGAGTTAAATCTAGATATATCGCACCCTTCTGAAAGAAACAGCAAGTCAGCATCTGCAGAAAATTATTTAATTAATCCAGAAGTCATCTTCATTTACCATGTGGATATGTATGCATAAATATGTCTTGGATAAAATAGAGGGACACAGTGTGAAAACTGAAGCAAAAAGGGGAGGGTGGTCTGAAATAAAACTGGAAAGAAAACAAAACTGATGGGAATATCAGTGTTGTGGCAGATTTTTTGGTGCTGCAGGTTTGGGTTTGTTTTTCTTTCCCCCCACCAAACTCCATACCTAGGGATAAAGATAAGAAAATATAACAGTTCTTGTGATAAATCTGTCTGGATAATACAGTTAGGGTTTTTTTTTTTTCTTTTAATTGGACTTCCAAGTGAATGTTTAAGACAATGTCTGGAAACTCAGGGCTTCTTTTAAGGATGCAGCTGCCCTATGTAAACAGTGTCACATTCGCTGTCCTATGGCTATGATGAACCAGGACAGCTAGATAAAACTGCCACAGCTTTCTGAGAGGCTGAAAAACACATAACTAAATCTTTGGGAATTTTTATTGCATTGTGCTGTGAGGAGGAAAGGGCAGCTTGGCTGAACTCTCCTTTATTACAAAGGATGAGCTTGATTTACGCATACCATCTTGTGTTTATTGAAAGAAGTAATTGGCTGAGGATTCAGTTGTCACAAATATTTGGAAGATGGCGAGGTGGAAGTTCTAGCACAGGAGTATTTCTGCAGTGTAGGCAACGGCCAAATAAGCATATGCATTTCTAGACGGACACATGGTGATGCGGTTGGCCTCTGTTTCCCTAAAAAAATGCATTTGCATCATGCAAATGTAGGTCTTATTTTTTGGAGGAGTCTTTAAAACCTCATTCAGTATCTCAGAACATATCAAGCAAAACTTGGTTTTTTCTGTTTATCATGGGCTGATCAGAGGGGAGCTGACAAAAACCAGCCTTTCTTATCCTAGTAATAGTCATTTATGGAGAGGGAAAAGTAGTTGATATTGTTTGCTTATTAAGTTAGCTTGATTATACTTTTCATCTCCAAAGATGCAATTTATCTGTCATGGTGATGTTCAGCTTCATGTTGAGAGCAGATCTTGAAGTGATGGAGTTTATAGGAAGTAGGGTTTTTTAAGAATGATTTTTTCAAAAACTTCTCCTTAGTTCTCCCTCTGCATTTTGAACTTCTGTAAATCACACTAGATTCACTCTGGAAAAAAAGAAAAAAACAAAACACTTTTAACCTACACTTAGATCTTGGGAAGTCTTTATCCCTTTAGATAAAGGCAGGTGCAGCAGACTTTGTCAGTAATGTTATTTGTGGCTGCTGCATCTGTCTTGAGTTCCAGAAACTCATGAAAGCTCTGAGTATTCACCGTGCAGTGTCAGAGGCTGTACAAGCTAACTGCATAGCTTCATACACATTTCCTTCTGACACTTGTATGTCTAAGTAATTTCTTATTTAAATTCTATGTATGTTTTACACAATGACATATTCCATAATTTAAAAATCCTGCTGTTTTCATTATACCCAGATGAACATAGTGATTATAGTAGAGGAAACAGTACAGGCAAATGCTTTCTGTGATCTGTATACTGTATTCTTAGTATGATGATAAATTTCCAAATTTAAATTCTGCTACAACTTGAATGAAGGGAATATATTGTTTTCGTCACAAAGGTGACAAGTCGAGTTGCTGGCACAGGGGGAAAGCGATATTAATGATATCTGGCACTGCTTCAAGGTTTCCCTGCGTGGCTGCTCTGTTCAATATCTAGAGTGCTAAAGCTTGCTACTTCTGGCAGAGTTAAGATGTTGCTGTTCTAGACAGCTGTGTGGAAAAAATTAGTCAATAGCGTTTCAAAATTAAAAGCTTTGGGCTGCATGGTTACAACTTAGTATTATGTTGTGACATGAGAGAATCACATAAGATGAAGATTTTCTTTCATCCTTTTATTGCAAAGATTTAAAACCCTGCCCTTAATATTTCGTTTAGTTGTTCTTTAGTAGTTACCTCGGAATACCCCTTGCTTAGTCTTTGACTAAAGCACAAGACACAAAGTGCAGTTAGAAGATGAAATTAGTATATTTGCCTAGCCAGTATTTTCTTCTAACATTGCTCTTCTGTTGCAATAGCTGTTGAAAAAAAAATTCCTCTTTTGTATTAATTTAACATTATTATACATCTGTTACTTTCCTGTGGCAATAATGAAATCTGTGCAGAGGTTTGCATTATTTCGATGAGGGAGGAATAGAATTATGGATTCTACTGCAAATATTTGATGGCATACATGGAAAATTTTACATTGCTTCCCACAAAAGAGATGGTAACAAATAGGGGAATTATACATGTGGCATTGCCAGCTGAAAAAGTTTCATCTAGCTGGAAATACAGAGCATGAGATGTGCAGGAATCAGTTGTGAGAAGCCTTGAAATTCAGTTATGCTTACTTTTGTCTGTTTCCTTTCAAATCCTTTTAACGTAATTTGTGATAAAGAGTAAATGCTTAGCTTTGCATAACTTTCTGCCTAAGTCATTCCGCTTTCCAGTGGTCTGTTTCCAAATAGTATCTATTGGCAGTTCTTTCTGGAAATTGCAGCATCAAATATTTGTGCAGATACGTAATGGCACAGAAATATTTCAGGTGTTGATTTATTTGGCTTGAAAGTCTCTAAACTATGGAATTAGATCATAAACACATCAAGAAAAAATAGTAAAATGTTATAAAATTGTCCTTTATATTTGCATTTTTCTCAGAAAATACATGTGAAACCAGTGTTTTGCTTAAATCCTGCATATGTGTTTTTCTCCCTGGTAGGAATTCCTACAAACCATAGTAAACCCACCAGTTTCTCCCTGAGGGTGGATAATGCAGTTCCATTGGTGACCCAAGCCCATGCAATTCAGCCACTACAGATTCGAGCAGGAATCCTTTCTCAGGTCAGCTTACTTTAAAGTAAAAATCTTATTTGTATTATTATTAGTTAGTAAAAATTCTTGCCCTGTAGAGTTCTGTTACAGTCCCTCACCTGTTTTGTGCCACAAGCAGCTAATGTGAATTCAGTCGTTCCCTGTGTCACGAAATCTTCTCTGCTTCACAGCAGACGTGGTCGAATCAGACCCAGCAAATACTGGTTCCTGCATGGCAGCAAGTAGGCCCCCCCCTGCCACATCTCTGGCCTCTGATCCTGTGGCCGGCCCACAGAGGCTTGGAGACTGGGGGTAAGTCCACATATTTTTGTGCAATACTTCAATGATTTTGATTCAACAAGATCTATGGATGCTGATGCAAATGACTTGCACTTTAAAACTTGCTGTACTTTTCCGCAGGAAGCTGATTACCCAGGGCACCCATTACAATTCAGTGATACCGCAGCCTCTTTTAACACATCAGATAACCTTGTCTGCCCCTCAGCCAATTAGTGTGGGCATCGCACACGTTGTCTGGCCTCAGCCTGCAGCTGCCAAGAGGAACAAACTGTGTCAGAACAGGTTGGTAGAATATTTCTAACATTCAGAGGTAGTAGTCTACCTGTGGTTGCTGTTCAGTGGGCAGGGGAATAGCTGATGGAAGTGGCATGTTTGTTACTTAAACAGTCTTTGGGGAAAATTTGTCCTTTCTGCCCTAAGTTTTCAGTGTTATTTTGGTAATGCAGACTGGATGGGAAATACTTGCAATAGTAAGAGTTTTTAGTTCCTGTTGATTAGTGTGTACCTGTCATGATAACAAAGTTGTCTTTATAGCCTTTGGGAAAGGTATAAGAGTATATTGAGGTAGCTCTAATTCGATATTCCTAAGCTTGTGTGCATGAGGGTGTATCAGGTTGAGACAACTAAAAATAAATGAGTAGAATCATAGAATCATAGAATCACTAGGTTGGAAAAGACCTTAGAGACCATCCAGTCCAACCGTATCTGTCCGCCACTAAACCATATCTCTCAGCACCTCACCCACCCGTCTCTGAAACACATCCAGGGATGGTCCCCCCGCCCCCCCCCGGGCCAGCCTGTTCCAGTGTGTGATAACCCTTTTGGTGAAGAACTTCTTCCTTACATCCAATCTAAGCCTCCCCTGGCGCAGCTTGAGACCATTCCCCCTCGTCCGATCATCTGTCATTAGGGAGAAGAGACCAACACCCACTTCTCCACAACCTCCTTTCAGGGAGTTGTAGGCAGTGATCAGGTCTCCTCTCAGCCTCCGCTTCTCAAGGCTAAACAAGCCCAGTTCCCTCAGTCCAAGGTTGTAATGCCTTACAATCGCCTTCAGTCTTTCTTTTGCTGGCAGTCAAAAATACGTTAGCTGCTTGCTGAAGAAAATAGGCCCCACTACCATACAAAGTATTTGCAGAGGCGTGGGATACTCACTACAGGGGAAAGACATGGGTCAGCAGTCTTGTATTGAGCAAGGACTTCAGGCAGAGGCTACCAGCTTTGGTTTTCAGGGTGAATCTTTGCAGCAAGTCTGGCCAGGTTTTATTTGCTTTTTTTTCTCCCAAATGGGATTATTGTTTGTTTTTTCCTTTACAAGAAACGGGGGTTTTTTTGGGTGGTGTTTGTTTTTTTTAATGTATTGTATTTAGTGTTGCTGCAAATGTCAGTCTTAGACATTATGTAGTTTGGATTTTTTTGTTAATATCTGAAATAAACCGTGCCAAATATTTGTGTTTAGTGTTTTATGTTTTTCTTTGTAGTGGTTTAGCCTACATTGCTTTCTTTGTTTTTGTTGAAAATAGTAGAGTTTTCAGGTCTGTTGGTAAAGATTCACTAAATGTCAAATGGTGTGTTTTCTTCACAGGAGCAATGTGTTACAAAATACCAATATCCAAAATTCAGCCTTTATATCTCCAAAGATACTTAACCTGAAGGCTGTAAAGAGAATAAGTTGTATAGAAGCACAGGACAATCATAACTCAGAAGGACAGGAAAGTAACTGTTGTGAAACATCAGTCAGGCTGGACCCTGATTCATCTCTTTCAACCAAACAGCGCCAGGCTATCTTCATCGCCGGTTCCCCCAGCCCAGCGGTCAGCGTGATCACCATCAGCAGTGACACAGATGAAGATGACCTAGGACGAACGCATTCACTGAGGGAGTAAGAATCGGTGTTTACTTTTAGTAGGGTGTTAACTTCAATATAGCTGCCTTAGCATAGCTTCTGTGTTTAATGAATCAGGGTTAAAAAAAGGCAAACAATGCACTTCTCAAATTTCACTAAGAAGTTAAGTCTGTAGCAGTATATTATTTGAAGGTGAAAACTACTTTTTCAATAGTCTGCCTCATTAATCTGTGTACATTAGGCATTTTCAAACCAGAATACTTTTAGGTCCTGCCTACTTTTTTTCCTTAATGCTGTCATACCCTATTCATTTATTGAAGATTAGTCTTCTGGCTTTGTATAATCAGTGTTATCATTCTAGCAGTAGTATCCAGTAGATAATATTCATACATATGAGTAAAAAGATACTTCTCTAACAGTATGAAAAGGTGTGTATTTGGGGATAAAAGCACATGCTGAATATGGCTCCCCAAAGGAGTTTTCTTTCACAAAGCTGTCAAAGAAGCATGTATCATTTCAAATGAAGGATTAAAAGTTTAATGTTTGGTTGACTTTATTTTTACTTGTAGTGATTCTGAACTGGAGGGACTTGTATTTTAAATCTAAACCTTGTCAAATTTTTCTAGGCTGTGAACAGCTGTACTAAAATCTTTTATCTGCTTGGTTTAGTATTGATTCAGTTAAACATGTTAATTTAGTAGGTTTCACAAAGTGCATTTTTAGTCTAGAATTTCCAAAAGAACTTTGAAAAGGTTTAAAATCTGATTTGGATGTGAAAGAAACAAGGAATAGGATATTAATTTACACTTAAGGGACCTTTTCTAATATCTGACCCCTTTTTATTCCATAGTTGCACTTAAGTCAGTGGTGTACGAAAGAACAAATGGGTGATGGCTCACTTTCTCTTTGTGTGGTAGGTGTAAAGGTAGCCTCGACTGTGAAGCGTGCCAGAACACCCTGAACATTGACCGCGTGTGTTCTCTCAGCAGTCCTGATAGCACCCTGAGTACTAGCTCCTCGGGACAGTCTAGTCCATCTCCTTGCAAGAGATCCAACAGGTAACAAGTTGTGCTGCTTTCAGTAAAAAGAAAGATCCTAGTATACAGCAGACTCAGTTTATACTAAAAAATGCAAAGGTTTTGTTATGTTGCCATCTGGTGAGGCTAAATGATGTATTTAAAATGTGATTTATTGGCCTACAGTAGCACAGCATAGACTGTTCTTTTGTCGTTCCTAACAGATCCATCTTGCTACTCTGGAAGTTTTCAGACTACTGAATGAATGGTGTTTACTCAGAAAATATAAACATGTTGCATGCAATTTCCTTTAAAACAAAAATCATCTAGGTTGAAAAATTAAGCTTAAGTAAGATGTGACAGATTTGAAGTTACCAGAACATCTTAATCGTTATACACTGTATATATGTATACAATCTTAATCTCCCATTGTATATCTTGTATTATAATCTTTAATGATACTGATGCCTTTTTTTTTCTATGAAATGTAAGTTTCACTTATGTGAACACTCTTTATATGAACAGCTTTTAAATATTTTTATCTTCACTGCTTGATGTCTACTTAAGCTTTTGTTTTTCCACATTTTTCAAAATTCACTCTTCGAAAAATGCTCAACATCACTCTTCTCAGTGGTGTTCAGTGACAGGACGGGGGGCAATGGCCATGAACTGGAAAACAGAAGGTTCAACCTGAACATGAGGAAACACTTCTTCCCTGTGAGGGTGACAGAGCCCCGGAACAGGCTGCCCAGAGAGGTGGTGGGGTCTCCTTCCCTGGAGACTTTCCAAAGCCGTCTGGACTTGTTCCTGTGTGATTTACTCTAGGTGATCCTGCTCTGGCAGGGGAGTTGGACTAGATGATCTCAAGAGGTCCCTTTCAACCCCTACCACTCTCTGAATCTGTGAAAACAAATGGCATTTTTGCTACACTACCTGAGAGCTTGACACTAAAACATCTATGTGTGTGACACTCACAAGACATTGACCTGTGACACAGCCAGAAGTTCCCACTGACTTGAGATGTTCTGGCTGCGGCTTTTTCTCTTATTTTGGTCCCTGCCTTTCAGGTTTCAACTGGTTTCTTCACCTCTTTCCCCTTCCAGCTGCTTTGGTAAAAGCAATGGTTGAATGAACGGGTTTGCACCACTTGACCGGCATGAATTTCACAGACCACAAGTGCCAAAATAGCTGCTGTGTAAACCAAGGGTTGTGTCTGTTCCCCTAATCTAAATCTGTGAAAAAGAATCTTGCAGTCCTGCACAGGCAGGGCTCTCTGGAGGAGCTTTGGAGACCTAATTTTTCGGTAGATAAGGTCTAGTGTAGCTGCTGGTGATTGATATGCAGATGAGAGGGAGCTGCCTGCCACTGTGCAGATTGCTTCCTCAGCTCACTCTACCCCATCCTGACTCTCACCGGCCCCAGGGATGGCTTTTTGCAGACTCCAGGATGTGGCTGATTTCTAGGAGGAAATTAGATCGGTATGTTCTCATCTGCTAGTGTAATAACCATCAGGAGACCTTTATGCTTTGATTCAGGAAGAAATGAAATAATCTTTGTCAACCTTTTATTTGATCTAAAAATCTAAATTTCAGGTTGTTTATAAGTAACAGATTATTTAAAAAAATAAATTACAAAGTGGGTGCAAGTTGGGTTGCACGTTAAGTCCTTATGTAGAAGTTGCCTCCTTTCTCTGAGACTCGCAATTTAAGGGTAGAATGATTTTGAATATTGAAGTGCCACCTAATGTCTGTGCTTGTGTGTTTACAGTGTAACATTTTATCCACCTTTGAGTAGTTTCATTTCCATAAATTTTATGTGGTAGTTTAATAAAATGCATCTGAGTTATGAAAATGTATTTGTTTCAATGCAGTGTATTTATTTTTTGCTAGTATGTCAGATGACGAACAGGAAAGTGGGTGTGATACGGTGGATGGTTCCCCAACTTCAGACTCTTCAGGACATGACAGCCCATTTGTAGAAAATGGCTTTGTAGCCAATACCAATAAAAATAAGGAAGCAAGAGCATCGGTTAATCCTGAAACCGAATCAGCTGTTTGCACGGTAGTGGTACCACCAATGAGGCTTGAAAACAGGTTACATCTTGATGAACAGATGGTGAATACAGGTAAGTTAGTTAAGGTGGCTTTTTCTTTCTATACCAATCAATAAGAATAGAAATTTAAATATTTATTCAATAGCCATATGTGTGAAGACTTTGACCTCATCTATCTGTCGGTCTGTAACAAACACTTCTAATTGTGCTGGTTTTTGTCTTTTAATTTGTGTACTTTTATTATTTCTCCCTGTATGATGAAGCAAATGACACTTTGTCTAACTTTTGTTAAGAGAGAATATTGACAACAAAAACGTAACGTTGTTCATTTATATCTTAGAAGATGCTACGTGCCAGCCACTGAAAAAGGGTCGGCCTGTCCTGGGAAGAATAAACCAGTCTTCTACTGCAGGAAACCGTCAGCAGAAGCTGACATCAGCATTCCATCAGCAACATGCAAACTACAGTCAGGTACGTGTACTTACTCACACCTAAGAGGTATTTCTTCTGTCTTAAGGTTCCAGGTGTGCTGAATGCTCACAGTTTCAGTTGCTGTCCATGGCAACTGCAGGTTTTCAGCATCTTCATTACAGGAGTGTTCAAATCTTGAAAAGTGAATTTCAGCTTACTGGAAGTCCTAAATAGTTTTCATTTTTGGTCATTTTCTTAAAGCAGCTGACTTTATTTTTAAAATGATAGAAGAAAACACACTGGGAAAATTATCAGTACCTACAAATAATCAAAGTATGAGACAAAGTGAAAAATATGTTAGCATATTTTTTTTCCTAGATCCAAATGCTAAAATGCTTATAATGTGCAGTTGAAACTACAGCTGTATTTCAGTATCCTTAGTAGTGCGCATGAAAATGCTTGTAGTTTGAGTATCCAGAGATCATAGAATCACAGAATGGTTAGGGTTGGAAGGGACCTTAAAGCCCATCCAGTTCCAACCCCCCTGCCATGGGCAGGGACCCCTTCCACTAGACCAGGTTGCTCCAAGCCTCATCCAGCCTGGCCTTGAACACTTCCAGGGATGGGGCATCCACAGCTTCTCTGGGCAACCTGTGCCAGTGCCTCCCCACCCTCTCCGGGAAGAACTTCTTCCTAATATCTAATCTAAACCTCCCCGCTTTCAATTTAAACCCGTTACCCCTTGCCCTGTCAATACAGGCCCTTGCAAAAAGTCCCCTCCCAAGGGCTTGTAGTGACAGGACAAGGAGATGAGGTAGAGCTTAGCAAACTCACCCATTTCTTGCCTTTGCTGCCAGGTAGTGAAGCTGATGGGGCAGGAGGTTATGATTTGCACTTCAATCCAGTGTTGGAAGATACCCAGAGTTAATTCAAAAGCTGCTTTTGTCCTTACCCAACAACATAGTGAATGTGTCTGCTCTAGCTGAGAACTAAAGTTGACGCATGACATCAAGTTTAAACCCCTTTAATTAATTTTGAGCTGTAGCTGCACTGAGCTTTTGCGTAGATATCTGGAGGTATGTTTAATGTAAGAGCAGTACCTGTTTGTATAAGTCTCGCAGGGTAACTGAGAATTGTAAGTTCTATGCTAAATGCAAGCGTGCTTTCTGTAGTTAAGAGGATTTACCAATAATAACCTGAATAGTTTAGATTGAAAGAAACACTTGGGTGGGTAACACAATCTCCCCTTCTACATAATTATGCGGAAGGATTGGTTTAATTAATTCTAAGCAAACCTTAATATGATCAGCATAGTATTAATTTTTAATCTCTTCAATGACTGCAGCTCCTCATCCTCTTGGCAGAAAGTGTAGGATGTTATTTTCATGACACAAATTTATGCTGATCCTTCCTTCGTTGCTAGATGCCCTATGTAGTTTGAAGTCTGCATCTTTTAGTGGGAGTAATTGATTTTTAGTCTTTCTCTTTATAACTGTTAATGGTTTCCACATCTTCCTGTGATCATAGCCCTAGACTTCTTTTGCCTAGTTGTCTCAGATATTTTCAATCCGTTCATTATTTCTTCTGCTCTCCTCTAAAATTTCTCTCCTATTTGTCCTCTTTGTGCCTCATTATGGTTCCCAAACTGAATGCAGCACTTCAATTGATGCCAAGCCAGTGCTGAGTAGAGTGGAATAAGCACCTTGCTCATGTGATACATGGTATTTCTGTTAAAACAGCCCAGCATGGCACTTTTTTTTTTCTTTTGCCAGAGCATTAAAATAACTTGTGTTCTGTTTACCATCTCTTATTGTCAGATTTCCTGTCTGTGCTACTACCTAAATAGCTAACTTTTTTTTTGTTTAAGCATTTAATTATTCCTGTCTATATTTCTCTTGACTTTAAGTTGACTAGTTTTAGTGCATTATTCCATTTTTCAAACTCTCTTAACACTTAGAGATATTAAGACCTGCCCATTTCTGTGTGTGGACAGGTTCAGCACTTTGGATCTGGGCCGCAGGAATGGAATGGAAACTATGCTCATCGGAGGCAGCAGGCTTACATCCCAGCCAGCGTTGCCGGTCACGCTTTCTCCCTTCCACAGGGAAGTCCAAATCACGCTACTGTGCACGCGCATCTCTCCGGAAGTGCCCACCTTGGAGGACAGCCTGCTATTCTTCCGTACCCGTCGTCGGCACCCCTTAGTACTGCTGCACCCGTTGCCCACCTCCTTGCCACGCCCTGTACCTCAAGACCCTTGTTACAACATCCGACGTACAATATATCTCATCCCAGTGGTATAGTTCACCAAGTTCCAGTTGGCATAAATCCCCGTCTCTTACCTTCCCCAACCATTCATCAGACTCAATACAAACCAGTTTTCCCCCCACATTCGTACATTGCAGCATCACCTGCTTACACAGGATTTCCATTGAGTCCAACAAAACTCAGCCAGTATCCATTTATGTGAGAACTCAAAAGCAGTATGTTGGGGAGGCTCAATGATACGGAAGTTTGAGTTAAGAAGAAACATGGTATTTATTAGCCATGGCACAACAGGAAAATTATTTTTTTGAATCATGTAGACTTGGGTGCAATTTAAACAACTCTGAGCTTTAAAAAAACTCACTTTTAATGTGTTTTGCACATTTGGTATAACTTGTCTTTGGTCATGTTATCTTCTTATATAGTAACTTTAGACAGGTGACTTACGGGGGCAGAAATCTGGTTTTGCTCCTGCTATTTTTTATAAAATTGCCTTCTAACTAGTGCAAGACACGTCTACATTTGGGAAGCCATTCAGTGTACAGATCTAGAGCAACAGATGCACATGCGTCAGCAGTACAGTGTAGAAGTAACTTGTTTGTATTGCGTATCTTGGTGTTTAAATGTTGAGTCACTTACCTAAAAGTTGAGCTGTTCTTCACATTGCATGTGTCTTTTGCATGGGCAAAAAAGAAAAAAAGGAAAAGCCTAAACATTGCTCTTAAATGTTGTTGTCCTAATAATCTCAGCTGCATTGTAAACTGTTCCCACACATAGTGCCTTAAATATTTGAGGTTGTTAATGTTATTACTTATATATAAATGTTGAGGACTGCAGCACTTAAAAATGCAGATCTGCTGATTTTTTGATAGCGTAATGCTCATTTTGGGTTTTGTGTGGTATGATTTTAGTATTGGGTGTGTTTTCCTTTCCGAGAAGGCAGCATGTTTTGCTGCGGCTGAATTTTGCTGTCTTCTTTTCCCCCAGAATGATCTAGCTTCAAGACAAGACTTTAGTAGTGCTTGAGAAAAGTTGATTCAGTAGCTGTTGAGTAGTGACACACAGCACAGTACTTCATACTGGTAAATGGAACTGCAATACAGCCTAAGTAGTTTATTTTCAAAGTGTTTGTCTAATTGGAGATAATAAAATGTTTAGGGGTGCGGTAGGCATGACTGACTAACTAATGAAAGAAGAAGCCAAGTGCTCATTGGTCCATGATGTGGTTTCATCTTCGCTTGATCAAACCATGCAGTATTTAATATAACTAGTAGCAGAATATTTACTATTGAAGCTTGAAAAGATGTGAGTTCTTTGTGTGCAATCTTTCATTTATGCATGGGAGAGATTTTAGTCTTTTTACATGATAGTGTTTGTTTTAGCCTGTTGCGGGTGTTTGCTTATTTAATACATTCCGTCAGGGACGTAAATTACGTGCTTTCTGCATTTTTTTTTTTCCTTAGGAAGCGTGTTTTTGTTTGGTTGGGGTTTTTTTAATTTTTTCTTTTGTTCAAATGAAGTTGCTTTTGCAGCACCAAAGACTTAATCATCCATTTCCTATAAAAGGTAGCTACTTTTTCATAGACCTCAAGTATACTGTAGTGTAGAGATGGGATTTACGGAAGGTATTAAGCTGAGGCTGTGTTTTAGCTTATGGGCAAGTAATAAATCGTATCATTTATCTTGAATGTATCATAGATAAGCTGCTATATAATGATTGCCACTTCAGATAGCTGTGAAATTAGGTGATTAACTAGTTCTTTCTTAGCCTTCTGATTTTTGTACAAGTCTAATTACATGAAATAGAAGCCGGGTTTTGGGTTTGGTTTTTTATTTTATTTTTTATTTTGTTTTCATGTTTGAAGTGTTGTAACTACTATACTGTAAATGATGGAAGATGATTGCGTATGTTTTTTTGGGGTGTGTTATTTGCATCAGTATTTTATCTCCATTAACTTTGAGCTCATCACTGCATATAAGTGGATGTATTGATGTAACTTAATTTTTTTATGTTTTCATATTGGCATTGTGTAGACACTTAAGAAGCTGCATCTTGCAGGCTTGACTTAACTTTTTTTTAAAACAAAATCTGGAATACAATCCTTGCAATGTTGACTGGAATAAGAGTGCAAAGCATTTGAGTTTAACTCTGTCAATAAGCTAATAACTGGTAATCCTTTAATTTACTCCACTAACACAAGCAGTGTTTTATTTAATGAATGTCTGAATGAAAGAAATAAATGTGCCTACATTTGATTTATTTTTAAGTAATAACTAAAATACTACAGTATTAGATCATAAAAAAATAATAAATATACCAGCAGTACATTTTTAATCACACTGAAAATTAAGAAACCTAACTTTTCCCGAAAGTTTCGGTGTTTTTAGTAATCAACTCTATGCATTTTGTACAAGTGTGTGTATATAAAGTATACATTAGAACTAGGAGTAGCCTGATGAATCTGAAACCTTATCAACGCATATGATAAAGCCTAAATATAGGGAGTCAAGAAAATGCTCAAATTGGATATCCACCTTGCCACCTCAAACTCGTGCTATATGGTCCAGCCGTTGGCTTTCTGTTTCCTCCCTTGTGCTGGGAAGCAACGTCTTTTTTGGTGCTTACTCCATTGCAGGCAGTGGACGCACCAAGAATCACCAATGCAGATGGAGTAAAGGAATTTTGTATTGTGATAACAAAAATAATACTGCATTTTTTTTTTCTGGGGCCATGGGGATCTTCGTTGTATTTACTGTACTTTCTTTTGACTGTGCTTACGGTTTTAAGCTGCCGTGCTTGTTAAATTGACACAGGTATCTGTGTGTCACAAGAATATCCAATCGTATGCAGGAAGAAGTTGCTGTAAATGCGCCCCAAATTAGATCTGCTGCTCTTTCTATGTATTGTAATTTCTGAAATGTCTGCGTTTCAAGGGACGAAATATTTGGGATCCTGCCACAGCTTAAATTCAATTCACCGGGTGACCTTTCGCCCAGCCTGCGATACACTCTGAGCGGTCGGACTCTTGTCACTGCACGTGTCCAGGGCCCATCTGCAGGAAAAAAAAAAACAACCAGAAGCTTTCAGGGCGAGGGCCTTTTCTGTGAAAAAAGTCCTCCTCTGAGAGGCGTTCATACCCGTTACCATTTTAATGCCTTTTTTAAATAAAACACTGCATGACTTCGGAACTGCATATCTGCATATTACTTTAATTTGCAAGATTTTATATTAATTTCTTGTGTTCAGTTTTTAACTTCAGGGTGTTTTATTGGTCAAATATGCTACTGTATTAACTTTTTTTGTGTTTTAATTTTTAAATTTTCTGTTTTTACTGCTAATTAACTTGGTTTGTGTTAAGTAAAAGTTAAATCACACTGCAAGCTGTAGGAGGACTTGTTCTAGAAATGCCCAGTGATAGAGACTTGATTAATAAGTTTGAACTGTTACTGTTTAACAATCTGTAGACTTGTGGCTTTCTTTTTTGCTTTGGATTTCTATGCTACACTAGTTCGCCATGTAGCAATTGCACTGTGCAATATTACAATATGAGGACTGGGAAAATTTTTTATGGATGTAATGTCTCTTACAGTTTGCGATAGTATTTCTTTCTAGTTCTCAGTGATTTAAATGTGACCAAGCCTTCTGTACTTTGTCACAAAAAGCGGGTTTTCCAGGTGACTATTTTGGTGAGTGTCAAAATAAGAATTTATGGTGTATTACTGTCGAGATTCACTTTGAATTAAAATATATATTGCAGCAGATAACTTTCGGTGGCTTTCATTTTTTAGCTGTGTTGCATCAAAGCTGGATTAAGGTAAAGGTGGTGAGGATTCACAGGGAGGGCTCTAAAATTCTGATACCATCATTTGACTAAGCTGCTCTTCTTCCTGAAAGTTTCAGTTTTATTAACTTTCAGGCTTGCTTAGGAGGATCTTGAGATTCTGCCTTTAGAGTAGCCAAGCCTCGCAGGTTCTTTGTTCTGGATGTCCCACTTTTACAACCTTAGAAGAAGGTTATCAGGCCCAGGTACCAGCAGATACCTGGCTGCTGCTGCAGTTGGTACCAGGCCCGTGGCCACTGCTGCCGGGCCAGCAGGAAGGTGCTCCCGCGGCGCAGATGGCCCCACGCGGGCAGTGGCGCCAGATGGCCAGCCTGCTACGGAGCAGACGACCGCGGAAGGGCCATTTGCCGCTGCTGTTGCCAGCCAAGTGTGCTCATTGTGCCGTGGTGTGACGGTGCTTACTGAAACCTCCTGGTTGGGAAGCTGGCGTGAGGCAGGCTGTTGGCTGTGCGTATTTGTGGAGTAGCATGGCTCCTGTGCTTAACACAGCATTTGAGGTGCTGCCATACACGAGACGTAAACCACGGAAATGACAGTGGGATATATTTTTGGTTCCGAACTTTGAGAATTGACAGCTTTACTTTGCTGTGTAGGAGGCGCTGCTGTTACTGACCTTTCACAACTGCTCGCTCTGCTGTGTAAGTTGGTCCTGCTCTCTGCAGAGCTCCTCCTGCAGCACTACACCTTAGGATACACGGGAACGCATCCCTGCTCCAAACCGACAGACACCTCTGTGGCTATGAGAGCTGCTTCCTTTTCACTCTTTACAGTTAGACTCGTGTGTTTTGAATGTGCTTTGGTATTTATATTCCATGTTTCCTGTAGAAAATAGGGCCACTGCCTTGGTGTGTTTTACGCTCTGGATTCTGGCAACATCTAACAAAACCAAGAAAAGGCTGCCCGAGCCTTTCAGAAGGAATGCGCTGTCTGTGACATACTTTCCCTTCACGCTTTTTATTAGTAGTAACGTCTGCCCCTTGTGCTCTTTCCAGTCCTGTGGAAGGATAGGACTAGGACAGAGCAAGCAGTCTTCCTCTCCGCTGCCTTTGAAATACAGGTTTAAAATTTGTTGAGTATTTTTCCTGTCACTAAATGCAAAGGACAAATTATTCTGCAGTTGTGACAGCAGATTCATTCATGGAAAAGCTTTCAGAGACAATGGGGCTGTCACATGCTACTGATCTGTAGTGGGACAAACTGGTTCAGGATGATGCTATGCTTTCTCCCTGAATTAGCTTAGGTTTTCAGCTGGAGAGATGATCAGTGTCTGGGAGGCAACAGAGAAGCTACTGTTTGGTATTGCTCACAAAGCTGTACAGTCCTGCTGATCGTGGTAGATTCATGTTATCACTGCAACTCCTGCATCCGCTGACTTCAGCTCCTGCAGTGAACGGAGGCAGCGTGAGTCGAAGTTTCAGTTGGGTTGTGAAATACAGCTGCTCCCCGCTTAAGAGCTGTAACATCCTTATAGGCCTGTAGTGCATGTCGTGTGCAGCAGAGCTCTGGGGAGTGCTGGAGAAATGCTGTACCGCTCCTGCCTCCCTTCCCACACTGAACGACACGGTGGCTTAGTCTGACGCCAGTGAGATGAGATCCTGCTGTGCAGGAAGGCATGCTAAATCATGGGTAAGATTTGATGGTGATTGATGTTAATTGTATCTTCCTACCTTTCACCTGGGGGAAGGTGCATTTTGTCCCTTGGGAGGGTTGGGTACATGCCCTAAGCAGATTTGGGTAATTCTAGCTGCCCCTGTTGGGGGGAACAGCACTGAGTATTCTTTGTTAGAACTAACATACTTGATGCTGAGAAGCTGAAATACCCATTTATATGGATTCTTCTCTTCAAATCCTGAAGTAGCAGACTGGGAGCATCTACACCCTGTTGGTAGAGGGGCCTGGAGATGACTGCATTCTGTGGTTGCACCTGCGGAGTGAGATGTCCATAAATTTGGCCTTGTTTATTCATCAAAATGAGAAATGCTGACCGTTGTGACGATAGAGACCCTGCTCTGCCACCTCTGTCACGGAGGAGTCACGGTATAACCACGCGTCTCTTCTCAGCTGTGGGTTCCTTCATGAAAGACAAGCAAGGCTCAGAGTGGTTGGGGTAGGTCTATGGCAAACAAGGGAACTTAGGATCTATTTTTTAGCTGTGATTTTAACCAAGGTCATACAGATGATGCTATTGCTCTGAGGCAAAGGTAGGAGAATCCATGGAAACACGGATTTTGGTCTCTGTGTGTGTGGTTTATTCTTATGTAGCATGGTAGAGTAGTACTTGCCCCGGAGAGGGACATGCTGGTCCTATAGAGCAACATTAAATAAAAAAATCTCCTTAGCCAGCTAGCGTGGTTGGTTGATCCCTTGTACATAATGAGACATCCCTTCCACAATCTGGACTCCTTTCTAGCGTTAAGGATTCCATAGCTGAAAGGAAGCCAGGTTACACGCACGTACACTCGGCCTCCCTGTTCCACGCGTGTAACCGTGGAAGGGAACACACGGGCGACACGTGCTGCTTGCAAAAGAATGTGCCTGATAACCAGCAGCACCTGAGTGCGGAGAGAGCGCACTCTAGGAGAGCACGCAGGTAGGAAAGCAAATCTCAACACCAAGTAGAGAGGCACAGATACCCCCAGAGGGCTGAAAGTACCTTTCTGGAAAATGAAGACAAATAGGATCAGGAAAGGCAATTTTAGGAAGTAGTTAACTATGGTTACTTGAGAAAATTCTGGTGATTTTTCATTGGCTGTAGCAGAGCCTATCCAGTTATCACTCTGGAAAACATGCATTTTAAAAACCCTTTGAGTTTTAAATCTGCTAGGAAAAAAACCCCTTGTATACAAAATACATACACGTAGATACTGTCTAGTGGCAAATCCAGAGATTGCTCTAATGGTGAAGAGCTGGATCAGCACCGAGCACTGTAAAAATTAACTTATCAATGGAGCTGTCACAAAGCTTATGTTACCACAAATCCTGGGAAGCTGAAAATGCTGGAATGGGTTACGGAGGGCTGCCTCAAGCCGACGAGGGTGCCACCAGAGGGCCCTGCACTGGCTGCCTTGGCCCGCGCTGAGCCGGAGGGGAACGAGGAAGCGGTCCATTTTACTGCAATAATCACACAACTGCCATCTTCTCTGTGGATTATCAGCAGCAGCCATCGTGTGGAAGCTAATTTTGCATAGAATAAATCAGTGATTTGGGGAAGAAGTGCATAAAATGGCACAAATGGGACTTATTAGCATCTGAGTAATTGTGTTGGTGACATTTGGAGTGTGCTAAACTCTTCAGATAAATATGTAATTATGGGTCACTGTGACAGTGGGGATGCTGAGCAGCTGGGCAGCAGGAGGTGAAGCTGTGGCTAGCCCGTGCTGGGGCTTGCCCTAGCTTTGTCAGAAAAGATGACTTCTTGCTTCCTGTGGAAATTGCTGGGAGGCCGGGGCAGCTTCCTGCATGTAAGCAATGCTGTGGCCTTTCAGGATCCATTCCCAAGGTCCTGGAGCACGTTCTGCCCTGAGCCCACCTTTGCTTTGCTCCTCCTCCCACCATCGCCGTCTGTTGCCCACAGACATGATCTGGGAACGAAAAGAACTCAAGGAAGCAGTGCCAGGAAAGGGATGGCGTTAAAGAATTTGCACATCTCTGATGAAAATACTGTTTACAGAAAACAGTAAACGAATTACTGTGATGTTTGGTGTGACTGTGGCTAAGGCAGCTTCTGCCCC